GAGGGATCTCAATTATGAGTAAAGGAGTAATTACTATAAAAAGGATTGAGCAGATATAAAATAAAACTGATAGCACTTCTGAAAATAAAAAAAAAATGTGGTAGGTAAATCTAAAACATTCACAGAGAAGCACATGACATCACTTGGTCTGGGCTCCTTTCACCTATGTTCCTGGAAACCATTCAAGACTGGGCTCCTTTCACTTATGTTCCTGGAAACCATTCAAGAATAACAACAAAACCACACAAATGAACAAAAAACCTTCAAATCTCCAATTACTCAAACTGTGACCCTGAGAACCTGGAACCAGCAGAAACTATCTGCAGAAGTCACAGTCACATGGCAGAGGTGGTCAGAAGGGAGAACAGGAGGGTGTCCTGGAAGGTGGCAGCGGCTCACTCAGCCCCAGGACGGAGTCGAGAAGCAGCACCTGTTGGCATTCAGACTGTAAGCTGACAGCACCCTCCGGTGGTCATCGGAAGGCATCCCTTACTCCAGAGGGTGCAGCCGCTCCCAGAGTACAGGGTGACGGCCCCTCCCTCCCTGACTCTTGTGTGGTGAACACCATGATTCCAAATTCACCAGCAGGGTTTCATCCCCAGAAGGAGAGGGCCCTGTCCCGAGGAGGAGCCACCACGAGCCACACTGAGAAGGGAAAAGGCACAGGCCCCAGGGATGCAGAATGAAAAGCTGCAGAAGATGCCAGCCACCACAGAGTGGCAGATTTGAGAAATGCCACTGAAAGAGGGCATCTGCAGGAAAGCAGGATCCCAGTGGGAGGGACCTCCCTGGCCAGGTTGGTGACAGAGTGGCCAAGAGGTGCTGTATGTGAAGGAGCCTGTCACGCAGACCACAGCAGCAGAGATACCACAAAACCATCTCCTGCTGTCAGTGGCTGATCTATGTTCTAATCCAACATATTCAGATAATGAGGAACAAAACAGGAATAATCACAACACTATACGAACACACTGTAGGAGAAACAACACAAAAGCAGCAAAACTTGTCTGAATGGAAACCTGTTTCACAAAGCAGAAGAGAATTGTAATCAGAATTCCAGCATGCATTTTAACACGTGGACGAAGCAGTCTCAGTGGCAGCACCCATCAGCTACAGAGTTCCAGGAAAGAGCCTGCAGCCTACACATTTAGCTTATTGCTTGCTGCAGTATGGCCCCTCGGTGTGCAGCCTCATTCCTGCAATGAGTACAGACCCGCCTGCTGTGGCTGGGCATGTCCCTGATGGTCTCCAGCCTCTGGGCAGCCCTGAGGACAGGCCAAGCAGAAATGCAAAAGTTTGGCTGGGATCCCCAGACGGTGGTACATGATGCCAGGCAGTGGATGAAGACAAGATGGAACCCATAGATTTAGGGAAGAAACCGCTTTCAAAATTCTGTATTTTAATCATTAAGTTAAAAGGCACACAAGGGAGAAAAAAAAAAGACACTATAGAAATGAAAAAGCAAAGAAAACGAGGCCTAAGAGCATTTTTCTTCAGTGATAGCTGGAGACGGCAGGGGAGGGAGGCCCATCGTGTGCACACTGAAGTCCCTGAACAAGAGACACAAAACACTGGAACAGAACACGTTTTTAAAACTAACTCAAGAAAGCTTTCAAGAAGTTAAATAAGACTCAAGTCCGCTTTTTGAAAGTGCACATAATATAGCAGGGGAAGTCGATGTGAAAGTCACCAGCAAGAATCCTCTGTGTGGTCAGCGGTTTGAAGGGAGAGTTCGTCAGATTCCCAATGGCAGACTTCAGTGCCAGAGCCCGGGAGCAGCACCGCAGACCACGAGGAACGCGGAGGCTCCGAACGTTCCCTAGCAGGGCAGTCCTACCTATGAAGCCCAGTGCTGGTCTCGAGGACTCGGGAGTGCAGGGAACGTGGCTGCCGCGCTCTGCGAGGGTTCCGCTGGGTCTGCTTTCCAGCTGGCCACCTCTGCGTGCTCTTGCTTTTGGATGACATCCTCACTTGACACCCACGTCTTCTAACCCACAGGTTGGGCCAGCTATGCCCAGTGACTGTGTTACATCTTTCAGAAACACTTCCCAAAACTCTGTTAACATGGCACAACTGCTTAGGGTCAAAGGAAGGAGGTTACAAAATGATCAGATTCAGAGAGTAGATGCCCAATCACCAGGACACATAGGCTGAGTTAGGGTACAGGACAAGTGCCATGGGCCTTGTGTGACAGTGTGGCTCATTGTCTTGCGATGTGGTATCCTTAAGCCACCCTTGTGTTAAGGTGGCATCTTTTAGCAGATTGGCATCCACCAAATAATGTGCCGTCCAAACTGGACACCTGGAGGGAGAGTTCACAGATTCGGATGCAGACAGAAAGACAGTTGTCCCAGCCCCCATGCCCTGGCCTGAGGCTGTCTGCCTGTGGGGTGACAGGGCATTTGCAGGACAGGATGCAAATGCCCTCCCACCGCTGGGATTCAGCTGCCCAGGACCCTGAGGAGATACAGATGATAAGGACATAATTATGTAGAGAACTGGGGCAGTCACAGAAATGAGGTAAATAAGATGTAATTGACCTAAATTCTAATGCTTGGAAGGAACACATCTTTGAATACTTTGGGGAGCGTCCTTGCAGACACTTCCGCGGGCACACACACCACACGTTTCCTATGAATCATGTTAAGTTTATTATGCATTGTGTTTGATACTTTTACATTTGATATTATTAAAAAGTTGGAAAGTGAATATTGGCATTATTTTTAAAGTCTGAATTATCTCAAGCTTACAGAAAAGTAGTGAGCACATTTTTACAAACATCCATGCACCCTACCTTCCTCAAATTAAAAAAAAGTCTCAATAAAACCGTTTTCTTTCTTTTTAAGTAGTAAACCATCTCAACTCCAGCCAAACAGTTGCTATGTTCCCAGAGATGCAGTCTCTAAGCTGTGCTAGAGGATTTGTTGAAATTGGTCCTTGGAATGGGCCGGCCACTGCTCCCTGGCCTCAGGACATTTGCTGCAGCCCCTTCTCCTGCCCAATGTTCCCAGAGATGCAGTCTCTAAGCTGTGCTAGAGGATTTATTGAAATTGGTCCTAGGAATGGGCCGGCCACTGCTCCCTGGCCTCAGGACATTTGCTGCAGCCCCTTCTCCTGCCCAGAGCACTCCTGCCCCAGTGACTGCTGGCCCAACGACCATCTGCAGCCTTGGGTGGACCCTCACCTTCCCAGTGAGGCCTGTTCCCAGCCTCCCTCCACCCCATGCCAGCACCCAGCCCCTTGCTCTGCTCTGCCTTACAGCCCCCCACCCTCTGCCTGCCATGTGCCCTCCCTGTCTATTACACTGGAGTTGCTGGTTCTAGACATGGGGAGGGGTCTGTCTGAATCCGCAGGCAGGGCCTGGCCCATAATACAAATGATGCATTTGTGAAGATTTGGTGAATGAATGAATTTTTGCCTGAAAATATTTTCTTCAATTGTTTGTCTAGGGTTCCACGTAGGTTGATTTTTTTAAGCTAGTTCATTGTTGTTACTCTGTCTTCTCTGTGCTTTCCTAGGTTCTGTCAGCCAGTGAAGTGGTATATTAGAGTCTTGCACTGTAACCGGAGACTCATGTATTCAGATAAACAGACAGATATTGATGTAGATTTGTGATCGACTACCAGAAGTTGTGATATGAAGGAGTAAAATTTGCAATGTTGAATGTGTCTCATAGATTAGCATTCTATAAATGCTCTCTTTTCCCATAGTTGAATTTGTGTTCTCCAAGCGAGTATTCACTAGCACCTCTCAGGTCAGTATTTCATTAGGTGACATTTTGTAGTAAATGCACACTTTGGCCTCTGTTTTCTTCTAGGAGGCTTCTTCGAGTATGTATCTTCAGCCAACTATTTTGGTGAGGTCGTTGAGTGGTGTGGCTTTGCACTCGCCAGCTGGTCTGTCCAAGGTGCAGCTTTTGCTCTGTTCACGTTTTGTTTTTTAGTCTCTAGAGCAAAACACCATCACCAGTAAGTTTTAAAACACTTTTAGTTTTTTAAATTTGTTTTTTGACTTTATTATAACAATTTTCAGGTTAGACTTGTGAAATGTTAATATTAATTGGAATTGCTAAATCCCAGTTTATACCATGCTTTAGTTAAACAAGTACAGAACCAAGCAAATGTCTGTAGAATAACCCAGCAATAAGGAGTTATCAGATCCACATCAGCACAACTGTTTTCTTTACCATGTGCTTAGCCTCTTTGAATTTATTCTGTTGGACTCAATGGTCAGGTTAAATTATGAAGCAGAGGATTCAGGGATCTGAATTGGAAAACACTGATTAAAATTGAGAACACTGGCTGAGCTGTAGCAGGGCTGTGAACACTGTGGTTAGAGGAAGCCCTGCAAGTGGAGGTAAATCCCAGAGGCAGTTGACACTCACAGAACTCACACATGCAAGAGCTATCTAGCTGGGTGGTGGCTCAGACCACGGCTCTGAACCTAGGGTCCCTGAGGGGCTGCAGGGGTTCTCTGCACCCCCAGAGATAACATCATTTTCCAGAGAGTGAGTCCCAGCTTTTTGAGGTCCCCAAAAGGGCCTGTGATCCATTTGACAACAAACTCATAAACAAAATCATAGCATGTCAAAGCTGAAATGAATTTAGGGAACAGTGTTCTAATACAGTAGATGAAGAAGCCGAGGCTCAAGGAACAAGGTCCCAGGCTAGTCAGGAGGCATGTCTACTCACGAAGGGAGCGATCTCAGCAGCAGGCGAGACCCCCCACCCGCCCTGATGCCAGCACATGCCCCAATGCCAAATGCTGGAACTTTGTCTTAGTGAGCGGGTTAAGCTGGTATGCACATTTATGATCTCAGCAGCAGGCGAGACCCCCCACCCGCCCTGATGCCAGCACACGCCCCAATGCCAAATGCTGGAACTTTGTCTTAGTGAGCGGGTTAAGCTGGTATGCACATTTATCACTGGTGTCTGCTGTGCTGGAGAGGCCACTGTGTCACTTGCCTGGCATCACGCACTCAAAACATTTCGTGGAAATCTCCAATGATGATGATGTGAGGAGGCACATGGAAATGTACACCATCGTCCCACTCACAGAGTGTGTCATCTCCTTTGGGAATAAGGATGGGATGAAAAAGCTAAAAGAAGAATAGATTGATATCATGGTGTAGAGGAAAAAGTACAGTAGTCCCCCCTTAACCTGTGGTTTCAGTTACCTGCAGTCAACTGTGGTCCAGAAATATTGAATGGAAAATTCCAGAAATAAACAATTCAAAAGTTTTAAATTGCATACAGTTCTGAGTAGCGTGATGAGATCTCTCACCATCCTGCCCCTTCCTGCCTGGGATATGAATCATCCTTTTGTCCAGCAGCATGAAATTTTATCATAGGTATGTA